GAGGTTAATTTGTTGTACAGAATATCAGAAAATGTATCCATATAATCATATAATATGGTATTTTGTCCGTATCCTGCAGCCCCAGTGGGTCGAATGTCTAGGTAGAGCTTTAGCTTTATTAGAGGTCATGGTGTGGGTGTCCGTGTGTGTGTGGACACTGTAGGCTTCACATTTCACTCAGCGTGTGTGTGTCAGGATGATATAATCTGCCCAGGCTTTGGCCAGATGGTGCGTTCAGAGGCAGAGACGCTGTTTCCAATAAAGTGGCCCCCCCCACAGACCTGCAGCTGCTGCTGTTCTCACCTCACACATAAACTAATACCACTACACTCAATACCTGACACACAAAGTAATACGTGGATAACAATTAATAATTCACAAAAAGTTAATGCATGTTAACACTTCATTCAGTGGTCAGCAGTGTTGCAAGGCCAGGCGTGATCACACACTGAGAACATCTGGGCTGAATGTGATTTGGAACCACCAGTGGTGAACCATGGCTATTAGGGCTAGGCCTTCGGGGTGAGGTTACATATGTCAAAACTAGGTCAAAACACGAGTTGGAGCTAAACTAACAGCGAGTTGCATGAACATGTTTTGGCTGTTCTACATTAAACACAGACATGCGAAGCTTCTAAAAGACACTCCATGTTTTACTTGAAGTTTGTGACAGACGTATTATCATATACTTCACCCTGCAGCAGTTTCACAGTGACTCTTTCAGTAGTGAGCTCTGCTGTAGAGCTGCTGCAGCTGTTTTCCATTTATAACAACCTATTGATTAGACTGCTGCTCATTTTCACAGTCAGTGACGTATCTAGAACATCCAGGAGGCCTAGAGTGACATTCCGTCTCACAAAACCTGTCCCATTTATTGTAAGAATCAAAACATGATTGGTTGCTTCCTCTGTCACTTTCTTATTATGATGATAGTTAATCTAATACAATAGGACTTCTCTTCAGCTCCTGAAGTCCTACCCAATAGGAGGGCTTGCTTAGCTATATATACCTAGACACCACAGGGAGAAACAATTCCTGACAGACAGTTTTCCACTCTGTATTTCAAGACTTTAACCCTTTTGTTTCCGTCCAGAATTTAACAATGAAACGAGAGAACCGCTGTAATACTTACAGAGATTTAATGCAAGCATGCTTCTATTGAATACAGCTGAACTAAGACATGTACTTTTCAGTTCCAGAAGTCATCAGGCCTGGCAGACCATGAGGGTTCCCCTCCGGTGGGAACATAGACTTATTAGGTTGGAAACAGAGCACAAATTTCTACAGCAGGGGTGCCCAGTCCTGGTCCTGGAGATCTACCACCCTACAGAGTTTAGCTCTACTCTTAATCTAACATACTTGATCCAGATAATGAAGGCATTGAGGATCATCTCAACATCAGAGCCAGGTGTGCTGGATCTGGAGTCTCCAGGGTGGTAGATCTCCAGGACCAGGATTGAGCACCCTTGTTCTACAGCAATCCAAGGCCTCATTAAGTTGGAGCTTAACACTGTTAGAGGTCTCAAATGCAAAATCAACATTACACTGTTAAAGATATGATGACAATAGTAGATAATTCACTCACATCCTCTGAAGACGCGCCTTCAACAAGTTTAGACCGAGTCCTCTTTGTACTCTCTTTCAATCACCTGATTCATCCACTCAGGGAAGGGGGCCAAATTATAACCCACGTTAAAATGTTTTTCTGCATGTTGCAATATGTAATTACACATGTCCACCAGAGAGGGCTCCAAATCCCCAAAATCTACACAGTGTAGATTTAATGCTCGGAGCTCTGAGCTGAAGCAGAGCCTCCAGAGAGCTGCTGCAGACGACTAAACATTAAGACAGAAAAAACCTGTTTCTGATTGTGTTTTATTCGTGTAGCTGTGCAGCGGCTCCGTCACTGCTGCGTATATAATCAAGTTAAAACCAGGACTGGAGTTTCAGATCATGGATCAGAGTCCAGAACACTAGTACTCACAAAAATGATAAATTCCTCTAATCGATGATTGATCATTATCGATACGTGGCTAGAGCTGCCCGATTATGGCAAAAATCATAATCACGATTATTTTCTTCAATATTGAGATGACGATTATTTAACATGATTACTCACTGACTTTGGAAACATCATACAAGAACTTTAAAACTTTAAAAGAAACTTTTTATTTTTTTTTTTAAATCCTGTCTTTTTACCAGAGGATTTCTTTGAACTTTAAGTATAATTTAACTGAAAAGCAAACAAAAAATAAATGTAAAACTGATAAATACTTTTAAATAAATAATATAAGAATGATAAATAAAAACAAATAGGATCAGTATAAATAAGATCAACTATGTTGTAGTGCACAACCTGCTAAAAACGACTGAACACATCGCTGTTGTCACAACGAAACCTTGTATCTCCATTTTTGTTTTTCGTTTTTTGACATATTTTGAAAAAGCCTGTTGTTCTTTACATTGAGCGTAAATTTCATGATGAATGGACCAAAAGAAACGACCCAGAATTACTCAGAAAAACTTCTGGTTCCATTGACTTACATTAAAAGTAGAGTATGTTTTTTCCTTCTCCTGTAAAGTTACCATTTTGGAGATACGAGGTTTTGTTTCCGACAAAAGCGATTTATTTTAAATAAATAAATAAATAAATAAATAAATAAATAAATTAGTCCAAAATAAATTAGATGTGATTGAGCTTTTAGGGTGGGGCTGCTATAAAGGAAAAGGGTGCACTGGATTTATAACACAAGGCAAAACATGAACATCATATCAAAACAGGATGCACAACAATAATCGTTTTCTCAATTATCTCGTTTTCATACTTGGAAGCCAAAGCTGTAGTTGAAAATAAAACCTGATTGATCGCCCGGCCCCATCAGTGGTCCGAGCTCTAGCTGCACCCATGCGTCCTGTGACAGCACGTTTAGTAGCTCGGCATGAAGGGGAACCCAGTTCAGCACTCAGTAACGGAGCACGGATTTATAACCGTGCCGTCCCGCACCACCCGGTGGAAAAACACCACACAGTCTGCAGCTCTAAGAGTGCATAGAGACCCTTAGAGGTTTATCTCTTCACTGAGCCTGTTTTCCTCTTTATTCTGCGTCATGTGTGTTCAAAGTGCAGGCTGCTCTGTCTGCTTCTTCGACTGGCCTCAGTGTTTAAAAGTATCTAATCTGAAGTCTCTAATTTTCAATTTAGATTTTAATTTAATGATTAATTTCTTCTCTTTTAATATCTATTGTTTTAATCACGTTTCTAATTTCTATTCCCTTTTATTTTACGTTACTTTTTTGAATTGTGGTTTGAATCATCTTTGTATTTTAGCGTTTGTAAAGGACTCTGAATGACCGCTGTGCATTAAAGATGCTATACAAATTAACTCGCTTGCCCTTCTCTCTCTCTCTCTCTCTCTCTCTCTCTCTCTCTCTCTCCTGCACTCTCAGAAATAAAGGTACTAAACTGTCATTGGGGCGGTTCCCTCAAGGCTCCATCTCAGTACCTTTAGTCAGGGAACATAACTGAACCATAATCCACTGAAATGATATGTTCTAAGCTGTACTGACTCCACACACCCCGTCTCGTCTCCAGGCTTTTATTTTACTGTTCTGTTTTAAAACATTCGGTTATGAAAAGGTACAAATACGAACTTTTCACCTGGAAAAACTTATTTAAGGTTCACAATCAGACCTTAAAACCACTGTTGGAGCTTTGAGGGAACATTTACACTGTTTGTACCTTGATGAACGAAAAAAGTACCTGAACAGAACCTTTATATCTAACAGTGAAGGCTGAGTTCTCAGATTTTGCTCAGTTTCTCAGGTTTGTAGATGGTAAATATGGAAATATAGAAAGATTAAATGCTAAACTTGATCCAGCAAAACAACTTGCTCACAGCTCAAAGTCAACTTTGCCTTTTACAATATAATAAAAATAATATTTTACTTTCAAGAAATAAATCATCGCTGTCAAAAAAAGAAAAATTTCCATTTTCCAAATGTTCATTTTTCATCATATAAACACAGCAATGATGATGAACAGACCAAACGAAATGATCCAAAATTAATTAGTTAATTATAAAATCTCTCTATGTTAACTTACACTAAAAACTTTGTGCCTTCTCTTCCCTCAGCACACTTAAACAGAGTCTTAAAGTCAGGTGTCTTTAAAGGGGAACTCCACCAATTTTTCAAACATTCTGCATAATTAAACAGAGTCATTCAGAGTGGTTTGGTGTGAAACGCTCCGTTCTAGAGAAACTTACAGAGTCAGAACTGTTCACAGTGGTGGTGATAGGAACCAGACGTCCACCTCTAAAAGCTCCCCCACATAAAGTTATTACAGTAAATCGTTCTGAATTCACTGCCTGATGTCTGAGAGATTGTTCTACGATAGTTTTGACATAAACTTTTGGCTTAGATGTATTTCAATCTATTTACATTAATCTATTCATGGTGGAGGGATACATGCAGGACATTGTGAGGCAAAATAGTCCCCAAAGAAAACTTATTATTTCAGATTTTCCACTATTTTCCCATCATCATCATCATCCCATATAAACTCAGAAGACTCGTGTAGGTTCACTGGTGGTTCTGGATAGTAAATAAAATGTCTATATTTGTGTTGTAGTCATGGCGACCCCTGGTTCCTATCACCACCACTGTAAAGACATCTGAACCATTTCACACCAAACCACTCTGAATCTCTCTGTTTACATCTCAAGGACTGAAGTATTCAGAAATTGTGAAAATTTGGTGGAATTCCCCTTTAAGTCTAGGTTCAGGTGGCTGATCAGCACCAGAAGCAACTTTACTTTAACTTTTATCTCTATCCTTTCTCTCTTTCTGTCTTTCTCCTTGTATCACTATATCCATCACTCTCTCCTTTCTCTCTCCACCGGTCTCTCTCTCTCCCTCTCTCTCCATCTTCCGTAGTGTGGTCATCAGTGCTGTCACTCCTCTAACAGTCCACACACCCCTCTCACTCCCCCCACCCCTTACCTGGCTCATCTGCGGGCGCAGGTTGATCTCCTTCAGGTTGACCGTCTGCGGCCGCAGGTTGTTGAGCAGCTGGCACAGCAGCACTCCGTCCCTCAGCGTCTGCGCGAGGTCGAACACGCGCGCGGACGGCCAGGTGACGCGGTGGTGCGGCGGAAGCACGCGGCAGCTGATCAGCCACAGAGCGCACTGCCGCCACGGCTCCATTTCAGAGGGGCTTAAATCCAGCGGGGCAGACCCGAGGGCGCGAGCTCAGGGGGTCTGCAACACAGACAGACCCGGACAGACGAACAGACCGCGCGCGGAACTCCGGACACCAAGCTCAGCTGCTACTTCCCCGCGCGCAGAGAGAAACTGAAACGCTCTTCGTCTGCGCGCTTCTCTCTCTCTCTCTCTCTCTCTCTCTCTCGCTCGCTCGCTCTCTCTCTTCCTCTTCTCTCTGTTTGCAGCGTTGCAATGAATCCTCTTTCACCTCCTCGCGCGTTCTCTCGCAACCTCCTCGGGCTTCTGTTACTCAGCCACCTTCTTCCTCCCTCCCTCTCGCGCCCTCTCTTCTCCTCCCCCTGTATCCTATCCCCGCCCCTTCTCTCTCTCTCTCTCTCTCTCTCTCTCTCTCTCTCTCTCTCTCTCTCTCTCTCGCTCTCTCCCTGTGTGTGTGTGTATTCTCTCTCTCTCTCTCTCTCTCTCTCTCTCTCTCTCTGTGTGTGTGTGTGTGTATTCTCTCTCTCTCTCTCTCCTTGTGTGTGTGTGTGTGTGTGTATTCTCTCTCTCTTCTTCTCTCTCTTCCTCTCTCTCTCTGTGTATTCTCTCTAGTGCTTTCTCTGTCTATCTCTCTGTGTCTATCTCTCTGTGTGTGCCTACTACCACTACTACTACTACTACTACTACTACTAATAATAATAATAATAATAATACCAATTATAGATTCTTTTTTACTTTTTGATTTTTTTGAAAATTACTCAAATCTCTTAGATTCGTCAATCGGCACATTAAAGCAATAAAAAGATTTCAAAAAGATTTCTATTATAACCCAATTGCTGGGTCAAAAATAATCCAACAGCTGGTTCACACCACTGTAATAAACCACTGGGCAATAAAGTGAGAGATAACCCAGCAAAAGTACCCAACTGTCTCGACCCGGAACTTGGGTCGGAAAAAGTACCCGATATTTTTTAGTGTGTAACTAATAACAGTGACTACCGCTAACTTATATACATTTGTAGTAGACACTCGTTTGGGGTTCTAAAAAGTTCCAGTTAAATTAGAGATAACCTTCTCAGTATTCTCCATTCAGGGTCTGCACTATGATGCCATGTTTCTTGCCTATACAGCTAACTTTAAAGTGCTGGAGCTTATTCCAGTGGTCATTGGGCGGCAGGCAGGAAATACCATGGACAGGTCACCAGTCAGACACATATATAGGAGCAATGTAGCAGGTGCAGTTGGCCTGACTGCATGTCTATGGCTGTGGGAGGAAACAGACAGACACGGGAAGAACATGCAAACTCCACACAGAGAGGACCCTGGCCACCCGGCCGGGGCATCAAACCCAGGCCCTTCTTACTGTGAAGGGACAGTGTGACCCACTACAAACTGCTGATCAGACCTATCAGAGAACTGTGTGCAGCAGCTTGATTGACACCTCTCTGTCCAACACTGCTAGCCTGCTCCGCCCTTCATACAGAACTAAAATGATCGTCTAGCTTTTTGTGACAGTAACTGGGCTAAAAAAAGTCACAGACGAACAGATGAACATTGTTGATGTATGGACAAATGAATTAATGTGCAACAGGCAACTACAGACAGGTGGTCTAGCTTTCTAGCTGTTGGTTATGCTATCCACCATGGTAGCTGCTTTCTTCAGGCCCCCTAGTGGTCATTCCACCCACGCAATGAAAATCGGCTCATGTTTTTTTTGGAATAATCAAATTGAATATTTCCCCTCTTTACTCTGTTAACGTAGACACTGTTGGCTCTCTGTGTGTAAAATGTGGTGAATCCATGTCTCAAATAGCATTTAAAGACAACTGTTACCCCCTGGTGTAACAGCCTTCCTGTGTGTCTATATGCATTTTTGGTCAGTTTTGACCTGCTGGCTCACCTACAAAGATGAAAATCTAGTTCACTTTTGATTTTGTAAATCATAAACATTTTAACTGACAAATTGCTGTTGTCGGAACAAAACATCATATCTCCAAAATGGTAACTTTACAGGAGAAGGAAAAAACATACTTTACTTTTAATGTAAGTCAGTGGAACCAGACATTTTTCCCAAGTAATTTTGGGCCGTTTATTTTGGTCCATTTATCATGACATTTACACACAGTGTAAAGGGCAACAGGCATTTTCAAGTTATGTCAAAAACTGAAAAATGGAACAAAACCTTGGAGGACAAGGTTTTGTTCCGACAAAAGCGATATGTTCCATTGATGCCATTGAATTCGAAATTGCATAGTTCAAAAGCTGAGGGTCCCTGTGCCATCACCTTTGTGGAAAAAAAGTTGAACACCTCCTCACCACCAGTGTTATTGTGTAATTAACACTCTGCCCTCTGCCAAGCTATTGCTCTATGGAAACAGCCTTCCTAATCTAGCCACCATCTGGACTTACGAAACACCTGAGCCTCGAACTTTCCTTCACTGGTTTCTTGGCAAGAGTGGTGGTGCTCTGATAAGGGATTTTATATGTCTCAGGTAAGTAGTGAAGTAGTCCCAGACATAGTGGGAAATGGGCCCAGTACATCCGTGCTCCCTGCCCAGTAGAATCAACCTGAAGCTGATGGAGAATTGGTTGGTTAATTGACTCTGAAGTGATCCAGTTGTGACCCATTTGTAGAATTTGGGAATGGAGGGCCTAGGGCACCAATAGGTGCAGCAAGTCTGTCACCTTTTCTGCTGCATGCCACCACTGGGTCAGTTGAGCTAGAAGCCAGGTTCTTGCATAGCCGCAAGAACCTCTTTGAGGTTGAGCAGAGCCCCTTGCAATTTGCCAAATGGGCCGGGAAGTCATCAGGGTACTCCACACAGTGGTGTAATGACACATGCCTCTGGCTTCTGCTCTTGTGCCTGATGCTTCACAAGGGCCAGCTGGTGGGCAACAGCCCAGTCGGCTTGCGTTCTTGAGTTGATGCCACTGGTGGAAGCAAGAGGGAGTTTGCTGCAGTGTCAGGATTCATAGGAAGTGTTCAGGTCACCCTGAAACTGAGTTAGGCATGGTGGAGTGATGGTTTGGAGTATGTGGTCTTGCCCTGATGATGGGCAAATCTTTTCTCTCAGCCACCATCTGGATTGGCACAGTTTCCATCCTGTGATGAATGATGATCCTGGCACATTGATACATACCGAATTGGTTCAACAGGTCCAGTCCCAACATGCAGATATGGCCAGCCAGAACTCATGTGTATGTTTTTTGGCCTCAGTGGTCATCAGTTGTTTTGACCACATCTCCCCTTCTTCTCTACTTGCTTCTCTATTTGGTCTTCATGTCATCAAGGTTTGGAAGTTTGCCTAAACCCTTGGCTGGATAAGGTATATGGTAGACCCCATGTCCACTAAAGTCCAGAAGCACCACTCTTTGAGGTTAAGTGTACCACTCTGGCATGCATTTCCTGCCATCTGACTGTCATTTCCCAAGAGTTTTGCCATCTTGTGGTGCTGATGCCACAGCAGGAACAGGACCACCTTGAGGAATCATCTTGAGTTTTATGTCAAGAACTACCTCCAAGTTCTATGGGCTTGTGCTGGAGACGCCTGGTCGACCAGTCCCCTTTGTTATCAGTTAGTATGTATGACAGCACTGTCACCAACACTGGGCTGCTGAATCTGGTGCATAGTACCAACACAGGTATTGTCATCTCTGCCTTTGCAGCAAGGTCCTCTGGAGCAAAGAGGTGGATGTGCTGTTGTAGATGACCTGTGTGGGCACCTGGACACATAGGTACAGGGTGTCCTTCTTGGACAGCTGCTTCAAACTGGGCATATCCACGCTCTGCATAGTTGCAAAGATTAGCTGTCCAGACTTTGTGCATGCTCCCTGTAAGGCAAGGGTCAGCATGAGACTCTTTTACTGCCCTGTTGTGGCTCCACAGCAGAATCAGATTTGTAGGTAAAAATAAAATAATCCTCCTTTACAGTAAAATTAAGCTCTGCTGATCGTTCAACACAGTTTAACAATAAATGGTCTTAAACTCTGGAGTTAATGTAGAACTGCTAATTCACCCTTTAACCCTGAAGATCAGCAGGCAGACTGCTGGTTACCATAGCAACACAGACAACAGTCTCACCTAGCTAGTAGCTAACGAAACGGCAAAGAGAAAGATATAAAATAAACATTGACAATTTAGAGATGAATGGATTTATTTGCATTTATATTCACTCCAGATGGTTTCCTGGTTTAATCTGCAACAAGAAACTGTCAAACTCTAAAAAGTCACAAAGCTGAAGTCGTTTCTCATTCGCCAGCTTCTCATTCGCCAGCTTCTCAATTGAATTTTCATGTTCCACCTTAAATGGGGCAGCAGTTACATTCTGGCACCTCAGGCTGAGATTTAAGGTGGAACGAAAAAATTCAAACAAGAAGCTGGCGAATGAGAAGCGACTTCAGCCTCGTAAAAAGTCGAACGTTGAGAGACATTTTACAAGAAAATATTCTACTATTGAGGAAAGGTTTCCTGCTGGAGATGCGAGAAAAGCTGAGCTAAAGCTTAAAACAAATGAAAGTAATCTGCGTTTTCGTTCATATTATATTTGTAGTCTATACTAGTGCATCAGCACATACTGAGACATATTTACAGCCAAGATGGTAAAATGAACATAAAGTATTGAGGCTCCCAAGGTGGTTTGATTTTTACTGAAAGGACAAAATGGCTCTTCTTCACATTTGGGTTGCCGACCACTGCTGTGGGGTACTTTCACTGCTCTGTCAGGGTAAGCCAACCTCTGTCAACGTCTGCCTGCCCCAGGCAGTTTTGTCCAACTATTACCAAAAAGAACACCGTCCATTTGAGTTTATATGAGAAGATATTAACCCTGAACAGGCTTTATGTCACAGAACTGACTACAACAAAGACAGCACCAAAACATGGAGGGCAGCGGTGCTCTAGAACCAGGATTTGGAGCTACTAGTTGAAGGAAAAAACTGTGAGTACAGGAATGCTAAAAGAAAGATGCTGAGTTTGTAAGGGAATTGATTAGGAGAACTTAGTGTGA